ACTTTATTGAGAATTTTTGCATCTATATTCATTAGTGAAATTGGTCTGAAATTCTTTTTAGTTGGGTTTTTTCCCTGGTTTTGGTATCATAGTGATGTTTGCTTCATAGAATATGTTGGGGAAGATTCCTTCCTTCTCAAGTTTTTGGAATAATCTCTGCAGAATGGGTATAAGCTCTTCTTTGACGGTTTGATAGAATTCTGGTGTGAAGTCATCTGGCCCAGGGCATTTTTTGGTTGGGAGATTTTTTTATTATTTCTTTGATCTCAGTTCTTGAAATTGGTCTGTTCATTAAATTTATTTCTTCTTGGTTAAGTGTAGGGAGAGGGTTTAATTCCAGGTACTGATCTATTTCCTCTACAGTCTAATTTCTGGACATAGAGTTTCTTGTAGTACTCAGAGATGATCTCTTATATATCTGTGGCATCTGTTGTTATTTCCCCTTTCTTGTTTCTGATTTAGGTTATTAGAGATTTTACTTTATGTTTCTAGTTAATCTGGCCAAAGATTTATTGATTTTATTTAGTTATTTGAAAAAACAACTTTTTGTTTCATCAATTTTCTAAATGATTCTTTTGTTTTCAATTTCATTAATCTCTGATTTTAATTTTGGTTATTTCTTTTCTTCTGTTGGGTTTAGGATTAGATGGTTCTTCTTTTTCCAATTCTATAAGATGGTTCATGAGTTTGTTGATGCACTGTTTCTGTTTTTCTATGTAGACATCTCATGTGATAAATTTCCCTCTTAAGACTGCTTTTACTGTATCCCACGGGTTTTGGTAACTTGTGTCTTCATTGTTGTTATGTTTGAGGAATTTAACAATTTCCTCTTTTATCTCTTCCTGAACCCAACTACCATTCAGCATAAGGTCGTTTAATTTCCAAGTCTTTGTGTGGGGATGAACATTTTTGATGGAGTTGAGTTCCTCCTTTATCACCTGTGGTGTGAGAAGATACAAGGTATAATCTTTATTCTTTTAATTTTGTTGAGGTTTGAGTTGTATACTTGGATGTAGTTGATTATGGAGTACTTGGCATGGGCTCAACAGAAAAATGTATACTTTTTAGCTTTGGGATGGTGTGTTCTGTACATGTATATTAATCCCATTTGTTCTAGGGTCACATTTAAGTCCTTTGTATCTTTGTTTAATTTCTGTTTAGAGGGTCTGTCCAATTCTGTCAGAGGAATATTAAAGTCCCCAAATATTAGGGTGTTAGGGGATATCTATATTATTCAGGCCCATCAAGGTCTGTTTCATAAATCTGGGAGCATTTAAGTTGGGTGCATGAATATTTAAATTTGAAATATCTTCTTGTTGTATTGTTCCTTTGACCAATATAAAGTGTCCATCTTTGTCTTTCTTAACTTTAGTTGCTTTACATCCACTTGTATCTAAAAATAAGATTGCAACCCTTCCTTTCTTCTGATTTCCATTTGTTTGAAATACTGTTTTTCATCCCTTAGTTCTGAGTCTTGATTTGTCCTTCAAGGCTAGAGGTGTCTCCTGGAGATAGCATATGGATGGCTTGTGCTTTTTTATCCAATCAGCAAGCCTGTGCCTCTTCAGTGGTGAATTCAGTCCATTGACATTTATTGAGAGAATTGGTTAAGTGTGGTGAAGTTCTGTTCATCTTATTTGGTGAAAGTCCATTGTGTAGTTTTATCCTTTGCACCATAGTGGAAACTAAGTTTTGATTTTTAGCTTCTGGTTGTTTACTTTGCTGCTGATCTGTTGTGATGGCTAGTGTTGAGAATAGATCCAAATATTTCCTGTAGAGCTGGTCTTCTTACAGTGAATTTCCTCAGTGTTTGTAAATCCACAAAAGATTTTATTTCTCCATCAATTTGAAGCTTAGTTTAGCAGGATACAGAATTCTGAGCTGAAAATTGTTTTGTTTAAGAATGTTGAAAGTGTATTACCATGCTCTTCTGGCTTGGAAATTTTTAGTTGAAAAGTCTGATGTCGTCCTAATGGCTCTATCTCTGTAGGTCAGTTGGCACTTACTCCTGGCTTCTTGTATAATTGTTTTTTTTCATATTGATTTTGGATAGGTTCATTACAATGTGTGTAGGAGAAGCTCTGTTTGAATTGGGATGACCTGGGATTTGATATCCCATCTGAAAGGATTGTTTGAGGATCTTTAATAAAACTTGGGAAGTTTTTATTTATGATAGTCTCCAGTAGGGCTTCCATTCCTATGGGACAATCTACTTCCCCTTCAGGAATCATTATTCATTTGTTTGAACACTTTGTAGAGTCTCATAGTTCTCTAAGCACCTGTTCTACTTTCTCTCTCTTCTTTTCTGCCTTTTTAACCACCTGGGTTAACTTGAACACTTTATCCTCTAGCTCTGAGCTTCTTTCTTCTTCGTTGTCTAACCTATTTTTGATCCTTTCCACTGCATCTTTACATTCCCTGATTATCTCCTTGATTTCCTTAATCTCTGCTATATTTTTCTATATTCTACATATCTCTTGTCTGACTTTTGGTTCTGTCTTTCCATTTTTTCTTGTCCATTCCTTTTATTGTCTTTATCATCCATATTTTAAATTCCCTTTCTGTCAAACCCATTAATTCTTTATAGGTAGAGTCTTCTGCAGTAGCAACCCCATGGTCCCTTGGGGGAATTGCTGTGTTTCAGTTTCTCCTGTTGCCCAAATTTTTCTGTTGGTTTCTCCTCATGTGTTCTTTCTTCTTGTTCACCTCCTTGTCCTTTTTCCTTCTCACTGCCTCTATTGCTTCAAATTACCTTGTTTCAGAGTTTAGGTCTTGAAATGACTTCAGCCTGAACAAAGCCAAACTCTTCCTCGTGGCCAAAAATACAGAAGTTCTTCCTCTTGATGACAATGTTACATTCTTTTTACAATATGTCTCCAGGACACCAGGTGGCACTATGTATTTTTTGTTCAGGAGACAGCACAACCAGCAACCTCTGTGATACTTATTCCTAACTTAGTTGCCTTCAATGATCGCCTGGTTATTTCCTCAACATTCAGACACTGCTGGGTTGGGATCTTAAAGCTCACAAGAATCCTATAGGGGCAGGTCTCACAGTGCCCCCAACTCCAATTCCTGTGGGGTGCAAGAGTCCCTCAACCTGTCCCATGAGTGAAGTTCTGATCCCAGCTGGTGGAATTAAAATGGCCATGCTTTTGGCCCCTGCTAAGACCTTCTCACAACCTTCCCCGGCCTTGAAATCTGGTTTCTGTATACTATTCAAGTCTGCCCATGCTTCCAAGCTTCCCACTCAATGTGCAGCTTCCCCCAACAACTGAGAACTCCAGAAAGGCTTCCTCCCATCCTGGACCTCTGTGGTGGGCCAGGTGATCCCAGCTGGTCACAATCTTGCCTATTTGATCAGATTTCAACCACTCCAGATCATATGCTGGGTCCAGCTCACCACCTCCTTGCTGTGCTCCCTGAGCTACAACTCTGGGTAAGGTTCCCATGCTAGATATGGCTGAGTTCTCTCTTTTTTTCCAGTCATTGTAGGGGAACTCATCTGAACTATCCTTCTGGTGCACCATCTTGGTCCACCCCATCTGACCTTATTTAATATGTTATTTGTCTTTCTTCAACATTAAAATGTATTCCCCACAGGTCAAGAACTTTTATTTACTGCCATATCCCCAACATTCAGAGCACCATATGGTATATCGCAGATGTGTTCAATAAATATGGACCAAATGACTTTTTTAATCACAAAAATTCAACAAAGAATATTTCTACACACTATTGTTTGCTTTATCCTTTTTTTATAAGCAGCATTATTTTCATGTTGCTTTTTAGTTTTTTCTATTATCAGAATATATCAAGAATATATTTCTTGTCCATTTGTTGCATTTGTTGAATCTCTTACCCTCTCTCTTAAGACAGGTGCTGGGTTATGGAGCTTTTGACTTTCCTATCATGATTAAATAATTTTACTTCTCTGCAACTAATTTTACTTTGTGTTATTGGTTTGGAATTGCCACACAATTTGGTGGGAGTTTTAGTTCGGATTCCATCTCCACACATAGCACAAAAGGAGAGGTCTGATTTCGCACAAGTGTTCCTACCTCTGTCCAGGGTAGACTATGCGCAGGTGATACCCCTGTTATAGCTTCTTAACTTACAAAGAGCCCAGGTCTTATATGCCAAGCATGCAGAAGCTGTGGCCTCCCCTCTCAGTTCAGGTGTTCCAGCATTAGCCCCTTATGTCCTCTGACATCTTGGCATCAAGTCATACTCCTCTGACTTACTATCTTTACTTCACTTATAGCACTTACAAATTTTTCCTTCTCTGTTTCTGGTTGTTATGCATTAAAAACAAATTTCTGTTATAAATTAGTGGGCTTTTTTTCTTTTTGTATTCAAGTAGGGATCACTTCCCATGTTTGCTTAGTCATGTGCTTATAGAGGCACATGTGGAAATCATTTACATTAGCATTTTACAAGCAATATTTCTGAGAATGTTGATGCTTCTGTATAGTCAAAGGTATTTGTACCTGGACCCTCTGGAAATGAGTAGTAATAAATATTTATACAGTATGATTATATTGTAGGTCTATGGATGTTCCAATGTTTTAAAGGAAAAATTAGACATCATTTATGAATAAACTTTATTGAATGGTGACCTAATCATTTTATTTCAAATTTCTTCTTAGAATTGCATGTTTTATTCTCTTTTTGGCACTTTTGAAGAATTTCATAAAATGGAAAGTAATTATAATGATAACTTTTGATTAAGTATCCAAAAGCCATTGTTTTTGACATGTTTTAGTTTCTTTAATGCCATTTATAAGCTATATTGAGTACTAGTTATATTCATAGGATATGTCAACTAGGTCTTACAAGCTCATTTATTATTATTATTATTATTTTATTCTAACATATTTATTTAATGCATAGTTTATTGCATTTGGACATATAAAAATGTAAAATATTCCTATCACTTTGGAAAGTTCCCTTATTCTACTTTATGCCTTTAATTTTAAACTTTTTTTCCCCCCTGCCAGATGTTCAGACATTACCCCTGAGAACTGAAGAGCCTCCTGGGACGGATACTTCCAAGAATGTGGATGATTTCTTGCATACTACAAACAGAAACTACTTTATTAAATTATGGACTAAACTTTCAGAGAAAAAATCACCAGTGGTAAGGGAGGGATCGAGGAGTGAGGTAGCAACTGAGTGCAGGGTACAATGTCGGACTCAAAGGGGAATTCATATTTTGAGACTAATAAGTTTTCCCAAAACCATTCTCTCACTGACATCAGCTGAAGATAAGATTTTTTACATCTCTAACAATAAACACTGATTCTAAAAGTAGAATATTCAATATGAGATGTTGTGAATACCCTTCTTCCAGGCTCCCAGTGAAAACTCTGACACTTAACTTCTATTTAGCAAGACCAGAAAAGCACTACCATAAAATTAACACAGTAAAATATGTATTTCAAGGGAAAATGTGCTTTGTTGCTAGAATATAATTTTGGGTTGGAGGACTAAGCTTAAAAAGTGAGTCCACTCAAAGAGTCCATTTTTATAACTTCCCACTACTTAAACCAGTCATATAACTTTGTCCCAAATTAGTGCTCTGAAAGCTTGGAGAAATCAGCTTGGGCAGGTGTATGAAATGCCAGATTGGCACAATATTCAGATTAGAGTTGTATTCATTTTCCATTTGTAATCATTTTTAGCTGATGATCGGGGGAATACAAAAAGACTTAAATAGTTGCAATTGCAGTTTACACAGACCTGATAGAACTTTTATTCTGACTCCTTTAGTCAACTCCTTGGCTATGTTTCCTTAAGGCTAGCCTATTCTAAGCAAGTATTGATAATTGCATCATCTTCTAAAGTCACAACCCTGGGCAGTGGTCAAAAGAATCAGATTGGTTACTGGTTACTTCAGACAAAACATCTCAGGTTGTGGTGTGTAGACATATCTACATGGTCTACTCTGATTAAGTCATAATCATTGTTTGTCCAAGCTCAAGAAGCAGGATTTCTGTTTCCGCTTCCTGGATGTTCTGTTGTTCTTTCTCTGTCCTGGCCAGCCTCTTCCACTCACTCATTCTCTCTCACTAACTGGAGAACACTTTCATCTACTGTCCAGTCCCAGCTCTTCATGACCTCTTGGTTCTGTGCCTGTAATTCCAAGCAACTTCACTCCATCTCTTTAATTTATGTTGCTGAAGACAAGTGAATCTAACCAGAAAGCTTGACTTTTTAGGCCATGCCATGGAGGTTACATTAGCCTGTGTGTGCAGAAGCAAGAGGAGGTGGGTGCATTCTAAATGTCTATAAATAACATAAGTGCGTGTCATGATGCTTGAGTGAAAGAAAGTCACATTTATCTCAAATAAAATGAATCTGGAGTTGTTCCCCTCTGCTGGGTTTGTGGGAAATCAAACATAAAGTCATTAGAATGAGGATCACTCCTTGCATTTGGATTAAGTTCAAGAATGCTGAGGGTTACACTATCCTAGAAAATCAAGAAAGGGCCTCTGGCCTCCGAGCCACCAGGGTTATCATGGTGATGCTCCTAAGACCCTAAGTTCCACCTCCTCTCTTCTACTTTTAGTAGCTGTTTTTTAAGACCTACTGCTGAGATCTTGCTGCACCCTGTGGTGCTGAGTAGCATTGAACAACTAAGTCTTCCTCTACATGAGGTGGCCATCATCCTGTCATTCTAGTCCTGGGAAATTCAGCTCTTTCTAGCTCAGTCTACAATTTCTTCCTCTGCCCTTGGTATCTTGGCTTTTTTGGATGGTATGGCTTGATATTTCTAGGGCCATGTTTTCTTCAAATAACATCAAAATAATATGGCAGCTTCTTTCCTGAGATTTCCTGGCTCCATTTAACCCCACCCCACCCCTATGGTCTAGACTTTCTCTTTCTTTTGACTCTGTTGATTCTGTCCTAATGAATTTTTATTCTACTCCCATCAACTTCTCTTAGTTGGGGGTCGGGGACTGTCTTAAAAAGGAGGCCTGGTAGGTCATTGTCAAGCATTCATAGTTGATCCAGCTCCTTTAGAACTTATTGTGTACCTCTTATACTCACCCACGGTTGGAGTGGGAACAACCCCACCCGTGTTTCAGCTGTGTTTCCCAAACTGTCCTGCTTTGCTTTCCAGTGAATATATGTTTTTTAAATGTCATGTTCTTTATCCAATGAAGAATATTACTGCTATGTGGAACACAATTGCCCTAAATGTAATTCACAGCTGCTTTCAAAAAGCTGGTTTTGGAATCAGTGACTGTACTCATGTATAGAATAAACATCACTATTATGACTAGAATGATCTACAGAGATATTAGTTTTCCTGTAATCATAAACTTTGATGATTTTTTTAAAGTTTTTTTTTGGGTGGGGGGAATTCAACATGTTGATTATTTATACACATTGGAGTACTTACCTCCTACTAATTAACATAGCCTTCACCTCATTTACCCAATTACAGTGTTAAGACATTTGTGTTCTACACCTGGTAGACCCAACTTGTACTTGCAATATGCTCCATAGGTGTGGTCCCCCTATTACCCCTCCCTCTATTGACCCATCTCCCTCTCTTCCCCTCTCCCTCCGCTTCCCTCCTTCATCCTAGGCTATAGTTGTGATTCATCTTTCATATGAAAGTGTGAGTGATTATAAATTGGTTTCATAGTAGTACTGAATACATTGGATATATATTTTTTCCATTCCTGAGATACTTTACTAATTTTTAAGTTGTCTTGGCATTCTCCTGTTCTCAGGTCTTTCACTTGCTATGTTTCTCACTGCATAGACACTGATTCCATGCAGGCATTGTGGCTAATAGAGGCCCACCTATATTTTGGGGTTTGAGGAGAAACCTGGTTTTGTTATAAATTTTTTTTAATGTTTTTGATTTTGCTATTTAGTTTATATAGCTATTTTCATGTAGAGATTCTGAAGATCCAAAAATTATGCCGCCCCTACCACTGTCCCTTCCCAGTTATGATATAATTTAAATCAATCATCGACAGGGAAAAAATAAGGATGGTAAAAAGTGAAATTATAGTAGTAAATGTACTAATTTAGAGTGATTTGGAGCAAAATAATGGCAAATTCATGTGACAGTGAATGACAAACACAAACAAAAAACAAAATAATAAATTCACAGAAAATTTGTTTAATATACAGTTATTATATAGTAATATGAGGCTATTTTGATGTATTTATGGAGTTGTTCAGTATATAGTTTTTAAATGGTGAAATTTAATTTAAATAGGTCTTGTTTCTTTCTTGTTTAATTGCAGTCTTCCCTAGACACACCAACAAAATTTTCTTTTCTCAGTTATATAGAAGCACAGAGCTCATGATTAGGGAAGGAGTAAAATGGTCTTGGTGATCAAATATCCTCCTGAGACTCTGTTCAGTGGGTGACCACGTTAGCTCTCCCATGTGATGGTTTCTAAGGAACAATTTTGAAAGCTTGACCTAGATGTTTTCAAAATAAGAACAGTTAACAGCAAATTCTAGTTTAGATCACAAAGAATAGTAAACATTATTCATTCTTTATATTATTCTCCCAAACTTACACTCTTGTGAATTAAATATTCATTAAGCTTCTGCTTTGTACTAAGGTAAGTGTGCTGTGAGCAGGGGGTACAGCAGTGACCAAAGGGACTTCTGATCTCGTGTATGTGACATGTTTCCAGAGATGCTTGGTGTGCCAATCTTAGCACCCCTATAGATAAGTTTTTGCAATGCAATAATGTTTTTAGAATCAAATCTACTTAAAATCTAAAAACTGATTTTTAAAAAAGTTTCTCTAAAAGACATACAAACCCTTCAAACTATGCTAGGCCCCTAGGCTAAGACAAGGGGCTGATCTGGAGCTGTGGTTCCCTACCTTTAACTGTGGTGTGTATACTTTCTCTAATAGGCTTGTTTGTTGTTATCCCCCAGGCAATTTTATCCTCCACAACTTACAGTGGAGCGTGGTAACAACATAAAAATCAAAACAGCATGGCTTATTTTAGATTAAGTTACTGCAAGCCAAGAACAATGTATTTTAAATGTACTTGCTATTTAAGTAAATGTTATCATAATCTCTTTATCAATAATAGCCTTTACATGAAACAGATAAGCAGTTGCTAATTTATCTTTTTTGTAAATTAAGAGTTAAATATATCAGGTTTGCAAGTCTACTTTATGGACAGTTGCTTAAACAGGTCATCCCGTAGCAGATGAGCCATATGTAAACACATGGGTTTTTATAAAACAGCATGTGCTATCTTGTTTCTCTTTTCCCTCTTTTTAAAATTCCCATTTGACACCAGTTTATAAAACTTTTGAGTGCAGAGGCTGTGTCTCTTACATCTCTGTATCCCTTAGTAAGATGCTTACTAAGTATCAATGGTGATGGTGATGCTGATGAAGTGTGGCAGAAAGACCTCCCGGCTTTTACTACTTTGGTACCGTATGTTCAGTCAATCACTAAGCTACCATATGTGCTAAGATCTGCAAGACTAAAAAGACAATAATAATCTGTATCCTTGAGAAGTTTATAGTCTTATTAGAAAGATACCAAATACAAATCTAAAATATTAATAAAAATTAACATTATTTAGATGTCAAATAAAGTTTATATATTAAGTTATAGTCTTTATAAAAAATTTTGGTTTTAAGTATAAAGTTTTCTATTTTCTTTCCACTGAATAAATATCAATTGTTTCTTAAGCCTTTTCCCCCCTTCTTCATTCTACATATTTGTCAATCTCTAGTAAGAAGAGAATTATTCTGGCTATTTTGATCATCTGATATATTTTTAATGTAAATATAATTTTCTGATTGTATTTCTTCCTTAGGAAAGAGACTCTATATGCAGACAGCATGAGACAGCCCGACAGGCCCTAATGGGAAGGACACCCCCTGATCATACACTCCTATTTCAAAGGTAGCAATTTATCACATTAATTTATACCTCAGTAACTTCACATTGATTTTCTAGTGTTCAGATATGTCCAAATGAGTCCTAAATCATCAACCTAAACAGAGACCTTGGTATTAAAATGGACCCAGTGATTCAAAAATCAACCCAATTCTAGAAGATGTGTTTCCTTTTCATTTCTTTAATATTTTTTAAAATGGCATAATATGCTCATAGCTACTAGAAACTGATGGTTTTCGCAACCTGCAAAAATCATATTTCTAGTAGTGTCTGAATATAAGTATCAGCCTCCTCCAAGGCTATTCATTGACTGCAGGTCCCTTATATCCTGTTGAGTACCCTCTACTTGTCTTTCCTGACTCTCAAAATGATGGTAATTAATTATCTGTGGCATCATTTGTTTAGTGTTTCTTTTCCATGTTAGACTGCAAATTCCACAGGAAGGAGGACCATTGTACCTTCAGTAATCCATGAGTTTTGAATCCTTAGCATGGAATGTTTCACTTAGTGCCTGCCACGTGATATGGATTTCATGGATGCTAATGGCTATGATAATTATTTTTATATTAATTATTATACATGAAGAGGCATATTTGTGCTTTAAGTTTTACTCAAAATGAATAATCAGATCATTGGATGATTATGGAAGGTTTGCATGATATTTTCTTACATATAATTCTTGCCTGATATTAATTTACAGGTTTCAGTGTTCTGAATTCTCCTTTCTGTAAAACTTTTTAGAATATTTGTATAGAAAATGGAGAAGTTCCTATTGTTAGAAAGTTGCTAAGAACACTGACAAATATCATAGTTATAACATTGAAAACAAATATTTTAGTAAAATTAATAAAGCAGTGACTGGAGGAAGCAGAATGTTAAAAGCCATTTAAAGTTTTTTTCAATTTTACTTCTTTTTATTATCTATGATCTTAAGCTATCTATTGAGAATCTTTAATCAATATAAATACTGTGAAGTTTTAATCTACTCATCTGCTACCATAGGAAAAAAGTGCTATTAATTTTCTTCATGTTGACAGGTTATCTTTGGATGGTCTGATTGAAAGGATAGGTTGTGTGGTGTATGTACAGTTCTATTGAAGGGTCAAGAGAATAGTGCCAGTAAATAGACAGTCTCCCCAGAAGAGCTGAAGTAGGACACCAGGCCTATTTGAATACTCTGAAGACAGAACTCAAGCAGTTGTATTTTTATTTATTTATTTATTATTTATTTATTTATTTATTGGAGACAGAGTCTTGCTTTGTCACCCTGGGTAGAATGCCATGACGTCATAACTCACAGCAACCTCAAACTCTTGGGCTCAACCGATTCACTTGCCTCAGCCTCCTGAGTAGCTGGAACTCCAGGTGCCTGGCTGTATTTTAGACATGGGGTCTCACTCAGGCTGGTCTTGAACTCCCAAGCTCAAGCAATCAGCCTGCCACAGCCTCCCAAGGTGCTGAGATTACAGGTGTGAGCCACGGTGCCTGGCCCCAAGCAGTTTTAAATGTGAACTCCAAACAGAGCATCACAAGTACTGACAGATGCTCTGAGTTTTGCTAACATTTATGTGCCCTTGGGCTGCTTTGCGTATAGCAACTCTAGCAAATCTACAGGTCAGCATATAGCATATATGAGGTTTTAAAAAAAGAATATTTTATGTTAGAGTTTGGTGGGGAGTATAATATTAGGATTTTTAGAAATATTTTACTTGGATATATTTAGAGCATGAGATTATAAATAAAATTAGCAAAGATCTATTTTAATTTTTTATTTGTTAAACCTTGCATAACAAATAGTCTAGGGTTTATAATAAAATACATATGAATCTCAAGGAAGATAATTTGCCTATATTAATGGTTTAATAGATAAGAAATATTCACCACAATGCAAATTTGCTTAATCTTCAAATTAGAATGTAATGGTGCCGGTAACTAAGATAAGCTCTGATGTGAGTGGATACATGACATTATTTAACATAGATTTTATTGGTATTTACATTTATGTGAGAGATCATGGTCAGTATTTAGGTATTACATATGTGTATGCTTGGTACCATTATAAAACTCTTTGGATTTTTTTTTTTTTAATTTCTAATTTCAGGGGTTTAGTACCAGTACCTTTCACCAGTGGTCTAAGTGATTATATAAATTTAGAAGAGCTACAGAAAAGTTTTGATCTTAGTGAAGATTATTATAAACTTCCCGTTGGATCATTGGATTATTCTAAACTTTCCTTTGAAAAGAGGTGAGTTGAGAAGTTTTGTTAAATAGAATTATTTATTTTTCTGCTGGTTAGTTAAAATCATGGTGCTCATCTCTAGGCTTCAGAGAAATTCTAAAACCAGGAAGCAAGGCCCCACCTTCCACTGTGAAATCTGAAGGGCGGAGACCCTGCCCCTCTAGGGAGGGCACAGGCATCTGAGTATAATGCAGGTTCATACAGCTGGCAGTATTTGTCTGGGACTTTGAATCTTGATGGAATAACACAAAGATGTAGGGATAGTTAGAGATTAATATTAGAGTTGCCAGAAGCAGAACTAACAGCTCAGAGGAAGGGCCCAGGTATGCACTCTACAATCCAAGCACAGCAATGCTGTTCTGCTGATGTCTTCCTGTATTGCCACGCAGCTGAGTTCTCCTCTCCTACCTAGCTCTTGGTTCCTGCCCAGTTTTTAACTCCAGTTCTCTAGTTTCTGTTCATTCTATAAACCTCCCCAAAGCCTTCTAACTACTCCCTTTTTAATATTTCAATTAGCCAAGTTGGTGTCTACAATTTGCAACCAACATCTCTGATTAGTACAATGCTACCACATGTATTTCAAAATGTTTACTAAGTGATGTCCAATATATAAAAGATATTTATATATTTATATACCAAAATACTATATTATTATGTTCTAATGATGGGATTATGGCTGATTTTTGTTTTTTTGTTCTTCCCTCATATTTTCAGCAGCGAGCAGTTTTATAATTTTTAAAATACTATTATAACTTTAAAAAGTTATTTTAGAAGTCATCCATAGCAAAGGGATATTTTATGATGGTGATTTGTCATAAAATAAATGACAAATGACATTGACATGATAATGACATTTCTGGGCTTCAATGTTTAATATGTCAATAAATAATTCTGTGGTTCAAAAGCTGAATATGTGCAGGTTGAGGACCTCATGTGGACCACACCAGAACCTCTGCCACTGATTTTAATGTCTGACTTTGTGGGCATTCTACTACTTCCTTTTTCTCTTTTGGTTGTTCCTGCCACTACAATGGACCATCTCTCTGTAGATCTTAAGTGCAAACTCCCCATGCCAAGATCTGGCTGGCTGGGTTAGTTGTCATCTACTTGGTGTGGGATCCTCTTGGGTAGAGATCTCTAACTAGGGCCTTCATAGGTTATGGTGTGGTCAAAAGATTGGTTGACTCTCTGTCACATATCCATCCTTTAGCCAATCATTTATGGCCAGACCAGTGGCAGAGAACCAAGTGAAGAACTCTTCAGAAGAGACCTGTAGTTATGGGAGTCTCTCTAGAGGGTACAAATACATGGCAATGTACCAGACATTAGACAAGAAATGTGACTGAGAGAAGAATATCCATGTTAACAATGAACAATCTTTTAGAATTGCCAGTTATTTTAATTTTCTTCATTATCTTTTTTCCCTATAACTTCTAAATTATCTGCATAGGATATATATATATGATGTTTTTAAACATCATGAGAATTTGATTCAATATTCAATAAATGAGAAAAACACCAAAAAAATATATACCAAAATACTATATTATTATGTTCTAATGATGGGATTATGGGTGATTTTTGTTTTTTTGTTCTTCCCTCATATTTTCAGCAGCAAGCAGTTTTATAATTTTTAAAATACTATTATAACTTTAAAAAGTTATTTTAGAAGTCGTCCATAGCACAGGGATATTTTATGATGGTGATTTGTCATAATGAGAGTGATAATTTCAAAAATGTGCAATGTTTTCTTTCATTCCTAAGTTTTATTACTGTGACAGTTTGAGTTTCCTTTTGTAAATTTGATGATAAGAAAAAACTATCCCTTGCAAATGGTTCTGTGTTTTTCACTAGATACTAGAGACCTAGCATTGTAGTTAGTTAGCTTTTTATAGCAATGTTGAAACTGTGGATCTCCAAGGACTTGTTGGAGCTCTGGATTGTTAGTACTCAAAGTTAGGCTGATGGAAATACAGTGAGAAAGAGAAAACAAAATTCCCAATAGACTGCAGTAGGCTTACATGTTATCCCTTCCCCTGAGTCTGACACCTCATATGTGGCCATGCATGTGTCTTTCAACTTCACCACTTTCCTCTGACTTTCAACACATATTTGTTTCATACTTTGATACAAAGGAAAAGTAATTACTAAAAGGCAGAACTTGGTATGTGATCCCTATTTTGGTGTGTTTTTTAAATGCAGACATATTTTTTTCCAAAAATAAGAAACCAATATGTATGTGTTATAAGTGAACTGTGACCCCCACCCTACCCCAAATTCATATGTTGTGGTGCTAACTCCAAGCACCTCAGAATGTGATCTTATTTGCAAGTAGGGTCATTTCAGAGGTAATTAGTTAATATGAGGTCAGACTGGAGTAGAACAGTCCCCCTCATCCAACTGTTCTCATACAAAAGGGACACAGATACACACATGGGGAGAATGACCTGTGATGAAGGCTGAGATTGATGGGGCAGAAATCAAGGAGCCCCAAAGGTAACCAGCAAACCCCAGAGCTAGGAGAGAGGCATGGAATGATCCTCCTTCTCTTCCCTCAGAAGGAGCTAACCCTGCTGCTGCCTTGATGTCTGAGTTCTGACCCCCAGACCTGTGAGACAATAAATTTCTGTTGTTTAAGCCACTCAGTTCATGGTACTTTGTTATAGAGCCATAGTAATATAATACAATATGTATTAAAAATCCAGTGATATTCTTCCTGCCATTTTCCTTCTGTGTTCCCTTTAACATACTATATTTTTATATCATATGCATATATTTAATTGTATGTTATAAATTTAACCTAATATCTTCTTTATGTTATATTTATATCACTTTATTACTTTTTGTGCTTAAAGAAAAGAGAAAATTTTTATACTTCTATTATTTGAAACAAAAGAGCTATCCTTTAAACCATAAATGTATCTCAGGCTATATTCAAGGGGAAAAGACTCAGTCTAGGTAAAAATTTAGAAAGAAGATTCCATGCATAGCTTAATAATGGTACTTTTCCACTGCAAGAAGAAAGAAAAGACTTGTCCAGGACTGGAAACTCTAGATGTTGGCAATATTGGTCTCAGCTTATTCTTCTCTAGGAAGTAGCTTCTTGGACATGCTCAATTACCCTATATGGGAACAAGAGATTAGGAAACAAGATCTCTTGGGACCACGAATGCTCTATAAAGGGGGTCTTGGTGAGGGGTTTCCAAAAGCTGTTGTCTGACAAAAGGAAGACATCTTAAGAACTCAGCCCAAAATGGTAAGATGGACCCTCTTTCAAGCAAGCAATTAGACTTCTCTCCCACTTAGTAGCAAGTAGACAAAACTTCCCACTTGGTAACAAGTAGACAAAACTTCTAAGTGCTGTAGCTTCTGCTTGCCATTCAAACATAGTTCAGACACTGTGAGTGGCTCCACACTGTGCTTTGTGTCACCTTCAGTATGCTTATACTGCCCACTGCCTTTCCTCCTGGCTCAAGGACAGGACCAGATAGCCAATTAGACTGTTTTTAATAGTAGAGCCTCAAGCTCCTGGGGACATCTCACTCATCTTCTTCTACCTTTCTGTCTCTGCCACAATCATAATATCTCCTAGTAGACATAGTTACCCTCATTAAATGTTGGGCTTATTTTGTATAGACCCATTTGCATCAGGCTTTGCTATGCCAGATATAAACCTAAGTTAAATGTAGTGTGTGAATAAGTGAAGGTCAACTTAAACTTGATCCTAAAAACATACTTCTTTGTGGGATAGAGATCATTACATTGGAACTACAGAGAGGAAAGTATAGTTACAGCTAAATTTTGGGTTATGTAACGAACGATTATCTATTAATTTTCAACATTTTAATTCAACCTTTGACAAAATCATGAAAAGACAGAACTATGACAGAAAAGACCTCTAATCACAAAGGTTGAAGGTGAAGGGCCAATATTATTACCATCTGTTGTTGATGGAAGAAGAAATGGAGGTTTTTAAATACGGTATATGAAGATGTAGGTCTAACAGATGGAGGAACTGAGAAAAGAGACAGAACTGTTTGGGGAGTGTGATACACCTTCTTTATTATGGCAAAAATCCTGTATCAACAGATATATTTAAAACTGATACATCAATAAAGGTCAGTAATGTATTATTTAGAAATAAGATATTGTTGAATATTTAGAAAAGACATGGTTAAAAATAGTTAATTCTCTGAGAGTAAAACTGGGCTTGGGAGAGGTGGGACCTGGGTTGGTGTTTTTGTATTGTAAGCCCTTCTGTACAATTTGACTTCGTTTTAACCATACATATACAATTAAGTTGATTAAAATGGTAATGAAAAGTTTTTGGTGATATGAGGGAAAATTTCAAAAGATGAATATATTTTGATTATATAAACATTTTAAGTTTCTTTAGGTCCAAAACAAATTTTAAAAGAAAACAGTAAGCTATATAAAATACAACAAAAGGGTTCATATTCAGAGTACAAAGAATTCACACAAATCGATAAGAAAAACACTAAAGTCTTCAATAGACAAATGAGCAGAAGACATACACAAAAGGGCAGGATATGGGAAGCTAATTAATAAATATAAGAAATAATGTTCACTTGTGCTTGTAATTAGAAAGTATTTTAATAATATGCTATGTTTTGATTCATAGTCAGAAAAGCTATTTTTTCTAAATTATTAAAAAAGTGGTATGAGAGAAAAATACTGCTTAAAGGCACAAGGTTGGTGGGGGTCTACAATTTCCCAACTTTTTGGAGAGTAATTCATTTTTATCACAATTATAAAAAATATATTTACCATTGACCCAGTTATCCAATGTCCAGGAATTGATACTGTCTTTGTCCATTCATCCTGCTATAATGAAATACCGTATACTTTGTGGCTTATCAGCAACAGAAAATTATTTCTTACAGTTTTTGAGGCTGAGAGTCTAAGATCAGGGGATTAGCAGATATAGTGTGTGGTCAGTGCCCACTTCCTGATTTGTAGCTGGCAACTTCTTGCTTTGTCCTCATACAATGGAAGGGGCCGGGAGCTCTCCAGGGTCACTTTCAGAAGGGCACTCATCCCATTCACAAGGGCTCCACCCTCACGATCCCACCTCTTAATGCTGTCATCTTGGAAGTTAGGATTTCAACATATGAATTTGGGAGGAATGGGACAAAAACATTCAAGCCCACAGGATATACTAATAAAATAACTCAAAATGCAGAAAATCATTATATATATTAATCATATATATAAAATGAAATATATATATATTTCATTATAACAAAAAGTTGTAAAGAACCTGAGTGCCTAAAAATAAAGGAATGATCAAACAATGTATAAAGCATATACTCAAGAGATGGTTGTGCAGCCATTAAACACCAGTATTCAGAGAACTGTTAACAACATAAAATTGTTCACTGAAAATGTGCACAATTATATAAAATGAAAAAGCAAAACTATGTGTAGAAAAAACAAGAGCCAAAATGTAATAATTGTTTTCTATGTGTGGTTTTCCTCTTTTCCTTCTAGTTTTCTGTAGTTTCTATATTGCCTATAATGTATATGTTTTGCTTTTATAATGAGAAACACTTAACAAACGTTATTTTAAGGAAATTAATGCAATGATTAAAGATAAGTCCACCTAAGACTATTGAACTGAAGTGTAAATGTGCATGGGCTGGGAGAGGCAGGAGGACAGAAACAGCAGATCTCGTAGGGCACTTACATGTGCTGATTCCTGTTCTGGGAATGTGATATATGTCATTTCCACACAGATACGTATTCATTTTCAACAACTTCCTCACAAGGATTGATACTGCCATTATCCCCACTTTTAAAATGTGACAACTGAGGCAAGTTAATTAATGGGCTAAGGGACTTGCTCAAGGACAGGTAACTAATAAGTTTCAGAGCTAAGGTCTCAGCCCAGGCCAAAAATGCTCCAGAGTCTCTGTGCTATGCCACTTGTCTGTACCATCTGCAAGGCTTAGAATCTAACTGAAGAGATTAGACATGTATGAGAGAAACACCAGAAACACAGGAAAGTCTGTGAGGAATGAAAAGCAATTAATTCAGATATATTTTTTTGCCTGGTGTTCATTATCTTCTAAAAAGGAGTTTCTTTTTTCCCTGCATTTTCTTTTTTCTCCTCCAACCACCTCTTATTTGCTAAATCCTCCCAACATGTCCCAAAATTCCCAACAGAGAATTCACATTCTCTATTGCATGCTAAAGGAACCTTCTTGAACTTTTAAAAATATGAAGGCCCCATATTCATATTTGAACTCTCTGTCTGAGAGGTTTGCCTACATCTGTACCTGTTCTTTTTGACATTCACTGGTAACTGGAAATCTTTCTTTTTGTGGATGCATGAGGAGTGGGGAGAACTTTTTTGCTTGGCTTCAGCAGGATCCCTTGCCAAAGACTTTCGTTCTTTTTTTTTTTTTTTTAATTAAATCATAGCTGTGTACATTAATGCAATCATGGGTACAATGTGCTGATTTTACATACAATTTGAAATGCTTTCATCAAACTGGTCAACATAGCCTTCACAGCATTTTCTTAGTTATTGTGTTAAGACATTTATATTCTACATCTAGTAAATTTCACATGTACCCTTGTAAGGTGCACCATAGGTGTGGTCCTACCAATTACTCTCCCTCCACCCACCCTCCCTTCCCCCTCCTCCCTCCCCTTTCCCTTCGCCTTGGGCTATAATTGGATTATAGCTTTTTATGACATTGGTTTCATTGGATACTTTTCCTTCCATTCTTCCATTCTTAAGATACTTTGCTAAGAAGAATATCTAAGTCTTTCTAGCAACTGAGGGCACTCATCAGTGAGACAGCCAGTGAGGTCAAGGGTGTGGTCTATCAAGTGTTTATTTATATCAGCCACCATCTGTTCTTGGAGTCATTGGCCCAGGAGACCCAGAAACCTGGGCTGGAGCAGACCCCCTGTGGCCAACTCAAAAGAGAAGCTTGTTACCTTGGCTATGGCACCCTCTCCCCAAGGCCCAATGGTGACACAACTCCAGAAACCTCATGTTTCCCCATCTTGCCTTTTTATTAGGTGAATTATCCTACTTCCAGCCCCAAATCCACTCTTTAAAGGTATCTACTCTGTCTTTGTCCTGTTAATCTTCCACGCCAGCTTCTTCCTATCATTCCTGAAGTTAACCTTGACTAAGAAGGATTCCAGAATCATTTAGTTGAAGAAAGGAAACCCACCAGAAAAGGGAAAAGAGCCTAAACATACTTTGGGGTCCCAAGATGAGAGGTATGGGGTGCATAGTAGAGGAACCCTTCCACCTTACTATCCCCCTTACTGAGACAGGGACTCATGGTGTGACTTCAACCTTTAGTGAGGAAACCACCCAATAAATCTCTCGCACCCTCCTGTTTATGCCAGAAAAGCTACCATGTGAGTTCCAGTTCTATATGCCTTTAAGACTTGTTATTTTTTTCTCCAAAAAATAGCGGTTTAAGAATCAGCCATTTTCATGTGATAAGTTTCAAATTCTTTAGCAAATTTGGTGGGAGTCAAGCACAATTGTACAAGTGAAGGGTCCCAAACCATGAGACCTGAGGACTGTAAACCAAAATCAGCTACTTTGCGATGCTTTGCATGATAAGCTGCCCTGGTAGAGCTGCCTCTCTGGGAGGAAGCCAGGACACAGGTGAACCCCACAGGAGAGGAACTTGGCAGTAGGAAGTGCATTGGCCCAGAAACAGGGTTTCGGGTACACTGATCATACCCCAAGCTTATCCTAAATAGGGAGATAAAAATCACAGTCCCCCAGAACTAGCTTTAGGTATGCCCAATTTGGGCTTCAGATCTTGTTATTGCTATCCTTTAAATAGCAAAAACTGCCATCTAAAAATTGTCCTTGATTCTGAAGTCCTAGAGATTGGGATTTGTGCCTTACTCATCTTGTTTTATTCTCTAGCACCTGTTGTGATTCCTTGCTCTCAGTAGGTACTCAGTTGGGTTTTGTATAATGGATGGGAATTTCATGCTAATGTGTAAAGTACTTAATGCACTTTCAGATACGCCAGCTGCTATGTAGCATGGGCTGCAGATACCATTTAAAGCCAGCTCAGTAGAGACATGTTACAAACTACTGACAGGACTTGATAAAGGCAACCCAGTGAAATCAGAGGCAGAGATCATATGCCCTGTAGTTGTCTGGCATCTCAAAAACATCTTTCACTTTTTATTTTTTTCAGGTTAACTTCCGTGAAATATTCTGCATTATTTCAGCCCTATCCATGGTCCAAAGAATGGTCTTTTCAGCCTCCAGAGGGGAGCATTTCTTCACGCCCAGGATCAACAGTGAGTGAGGGTGACTTGGATTATGCCTTAAAAGGTAGGAATTGTTTTACATGGGCTCTATAAATACAAACATATATTTATTATTTATATATGTCTCTCTCTGTCCTTCTGACGGTTCTAGATTTTTTTTTAATAGGTGTGTGAAGTCAGAATTTCCCTCTGGAGTAGGGTGCCTTATTTTGTTCCCAGTTGTTACAGATGAGAAACAATGTTCAGAAAGGTCAGAATATGCCCAAGGTCACTTAGCTACTTAGAGGGCAAGCTTTTGCTCTGCCCAGCTAGCCACACTACCTGGGAGAGTCTGGGGTGAGGGGTACACGCTCTCTGGAGAAGGTCTTTGGTGACTGAAACCCCATTTGCCGAAGAAGAGGAGAAACCTAGAGGGTTTCCAATTGCTGTCCAATCTTTCATTGTGGAGGCTTGGAAGAATTCTTCTGGTTTGGCGCTTCAAGAATCTCATTCAGCCCCCTCTTGCCTGTCTTTGCCCCCTTCCTCCCCCAGTACACACGTGAATGTGTGTGTCAGGCAGAGACAGAAGAGCCATTGAATTTTTCTCTTTGGGCTTGGTGGCAGTGTTCATAAATAACACTGAGTGAAAAGTTTGACCAGAGTGGGGAAACTGAAGAACTAGAAATGAAAGTGAGAATGTAATCCCGATGTCAGGATAGAAGAGGGGGCTTTTCAAGTAATTGATAGAGGGATGAGTAAGGGGGGAGAATTCCCTAGGACCTGCAGGCTAGGAGGGAGCCACAATTTGTAGTCTTGTGGGTGGAGGGTGTTCTGCCCAAGCCCAGAAGAGGATATTCTTGAACCCTGCTTGCTTGGGTGACCACAGGAACTAGAAAGAGAATATAGACATCTTAGGTTGCATAGGACAAGACACAGAAGACGGTATCTCCAAAAGGAAGGGGTTATTAAAGCAGGTGTGTAGTCTAGCTAATTCAAATGTAGACTCCCTTTCAGTTGTAGCACTATTTTGATCATTAGTCAAAATAAGATAGTTTCAAGAATTTTATCATGGAGGACACAAGGAATAGAATTCCAACACCAAAGCTCCAGCACATAATCCCAATCCTCCAGTATGTTATCTACGTTATATCACAGCCCTTAATGGCTATAACCTGCCATCCCAGGGCCTGAGGGGACCAGGAGCTCTGGACCAAACATGGCACAAGGCTTGTTATGTTTTTGGCTTCCCATAGGACAGTGTCCCAGATCATCCCTATCTCATTTTCTTTCCTCCACCTGTATCCTCCCTCAAATGGTTTAGTTCGAGTCAAGCACTGCTTTCCAAACAGAGTGTGGCCAAAGCAAAATGGAGCTGTTGTTTGTAATATTTGCAATATGTTACAGTGGAAAGAGCATTAGGTTGGGGATCAGAAGACTTGGGTTCTATTTCCATTTCTGTGCTATCTGGCTATTTAAGATTGTGCAAGTCAGTTAACATTTGAGCCTTGGGAATAATAACATCTGTCCTACAAAGATATAATATTATCATACAAGATGACCATAAAGTTTATGTGAATAGTTGTCTATTTTAAATTTCACATGAACTTTATGTCCACTCTGTATATTACTGTAACACAAATATGTATATTATAGTGTAACACATATTATAGGACCAGATAAGATGAGCCTATGGTATAAGTAAGAAGTCAGTTGCTATATACTTGCTAGGTATTTTCATACACATAGCAGAAGATTGTGTTGGTTTTCTTTAGGGGTAGTTTTTATAGATTTATTTTGTTCCTTTGAATGGGCCATGTTTTTCTGTTTCTTCCTTGCTTTGTGATCTTTTGTTGAAAATCAGGCATTTGAAAAAAATAGCCACCTCTGCATAGTCCACCAGGCTGTGGACTGGTCAGTGCAGGGAAGACCTTCACTAATTAGCAGGGTGTGCTCTGAGCCTCTGAGAAGGCCTGCATGAAGCCTTGACATCTTTTCAGGCCTTTTCTGGGTATGCTTTTTCCCTGGGCTTGTGTCTGTACTTTTTCCAAATTCCCAGTATACCCAGCTGCTTTTAAATGTCTTCCCTTTCCTAACAATCTTACCTCTGCTTCTTACCTCTGGCTTTAGCTGTCCCATTGTTCCCCAGGTAGTAGCCCCTCATGGTTTTCATGAGCCATGCCTGCTGTTTCCTTTGGTGTTTCCTGGTTTGAGATCCCAGATAGACTTCGTTGGGCTACCTGAACTCTGAGTTAGATAATACAGAGACCCTTTCAGCAGTCAAACTAAGTCTATTCTACTCTCTCTGGCTCACAGAAGGAAAACTAGAGAACTGGTGATACTTTTCCAAATCCCACTGTAGGATGCTGGGGAGACCTGGGGGAAAGGGGGACTAAAAACACTATGGAAATTCCTCCCATCTTGAATGTGGCCTTTTCTTGATTTGGGCATTTGTTTGGTTACTGTACATATCTGACTGACTCCAGAGCTCCTGGAAGGTTATTTCTCAGCTATTCTCTGGTTATTTAGTCTTTCCATGGGAGAATGCAGAGCTTCTTAATATGCCCATGTGCTGTGGGCACATATATCACAGTGCTGGCTCTGGATCAATGAAACTCTTATGCCTGTTTCATAGGAACTGCCAAACCAGGTCTCTATCATCCAGTATATGTACAGTTGATTTTTTTTAATATAAATGTAACTTTCATTTTCATCTTTTTATCATTTTGGTTTCAGCCTCACATTCCAGCTTGATTAGATCATTCGAACCTGATTATCTCCCATATTCACTATTTTATAGATTTTTGAAATATAAAAATCAAGCCTTTGTCAGAGTTAGCAGAAGTTGCCCAAGAGTTGTGTACTGTGACAAATCTCTGGAGACTCAGTTCCAGGGAAAGTCCACTTACTATGTAACCACTATTTACATCTCTCTTGTGTATTCAAGTGAGAACTTTGATAAACACCCTGCAGAAATAAAGATACCTTCCATCAGTAGTATTTTCTAACTCTAGAGGTCAGCAAGCCTTCTGTAAAGGGCCACACAGTAAATGCTTTTGGCTTTGTGGGCCGTGTGGGCTGTTTTGTAACCGTTCAATGCTGCCATTGTAGACTGAGCATAAACAGTATGTAAGTGAATGGACATGGACTGGGTTCCAATAAACTTTATTTGCAAAAACAGACTGCCCACCAGATGTGGCCTACAGGCCCCAGTTTTTTGACCCCTGCCTAAGTAAAATGGAAATTAAGTTAATTTGAAGTAAATTTTCCTTGCAAATCTCTTCTAACGTTCATTATTTACTATAATATTTTCTTTCTTTCTTTCTTTCTTTTTTTTGATCAGGCTCAGGTGAGGTTTGAACTCACTGCTCCTGGTCTGCAGGGCTGGTGCTCTAGGGTGCTCAGCTTACTGCCGTATTTCTAAATGTAAATTATTTCTTTAATAAGCTGAAATTGGCTAAGGCTTAAAGTCAAATATACTGTTTTGTAAATCCTTATTCCTGCTTTTAAACTGGCAATATTATTTGTATCCAGGACTTTTCTCACTGCCAGTAAGTTCTCAAATGGCAGGTTACACTAAAACTGCATGTTTAAGTAATGTCAGTATCCTGAGAAGTAATTTATCTAGTTGTGGAAGCTTGAACTTATTAAAAAGAAGGCCTACTCTCCTACTGTCTGTTTTCTTCTTTGGTTGCCTTATACTTTCCTGTTCAAAGAACATTTCCATGGTGAAAAATGAAAGGAAGCAAATGAGCAAGAGCTTTCTCTTCTTTCTCTTGGTCCTCTGTTAACACAGCATCATCTTCTCAGGTAGTGTCCTGTTGTTCTCTGAATATAACTAAACGAGGTCAGTTTTCCCTTTTTTGGATTGCTTTGGTATGGCCAGTAGATCCAATCTTTCTGACTGTATACCTCATTCCTTTTTTCTCACTCTCTGTAGAATCCTCTGCTTCACTTTCTCAAGCCCTGTGACACTGCTTTCTCCCCCAATAAGAGCTGGGCATCCTCTGTGGCCACCAGGCCTCTGTCTTTGATCTGCATCTTCCAAACTCCTTCTATTTCCCACAGTCCTCAGAGAAACCTAGCTCCAGATGTCATGCTACTTGGTGAAGAGATCAATCTTAGAGGGCTTTAGATGATGCTTCTCTAAGAAGGACTTCACAGAGTGTGTGTGTGTGTGTGTGTGTGTGTGTGTGTGTTCCCAGCCCTGTGTCCATCTGGCCTGAATCAGCATGTGTGAAAGAAGAGGGCATCAGGCACTGTTATGGAAGGGGTAAGCAGGGTGGAAGTGTAGCATAGTGATTGCTTCCAATGGCAACCTTCTGGTCATTGGCCAAGTTCACACACCCCAAGGCTTGTTCCACTATGTGCATAATAGTCTGATCTCCTTCACCATTTTTCTTCATTGGATGTCATTCATTCCTTATTGTTTGTCATAAATTAATTCTAAAAATTATTCTGGTGTTTTTATCATGCAATGCTTATTTTCTTTGTTTTGTGTACCAAGAGATTCACTACATATAATGTATCATTTTTTTCTTAATGTTTTACAGCACTACATATGCAATCATTTCCACATGAAAAAGAGTCTCTCCAGTCCAGAAGGCCGTCAATCCCAGCTGTCATTCGCCAGGGTTCCAACACCAAACCTACCCTCCCTCCAATCCCTCAGGGCCGCCATGTCCAGCAATTAACATCTGACCTTAACATGGAAAACTGCACTGATAACATGTAATCCCTTTGCCTTACCTGGCCATGGATCCAGCTCTTTCTCACACAACCATTTACTTACCAAAGAATGTTCCACCTGCCTTAATTCCCTAAATCAATTTATTTTTATGATTCTCTGAATAGTGTCTTTTATTTATTTAATTAATTTTTCCTTTTTTAATGTGAGTTATCTGCAGCTTTTACAAATGTCATTTTGGTTTCCTTCTATCGCTACAAATGATTTTTGCACCTGCTTCCTGCTCTGAAAACATCAGATGGCAAAGTCTCTCAAGATCTCTGCAATGCTATATGCATAGCGATTTTTTTTGATATATCCAAATGGGATTGTGCTCTTAAATCTCAATGTGTCCATTTATAACATTAGTGTATATACTATGGGACTGAATCATTTTCCTGATCTGATTATATATTGCTTGTCAAAAGAAATGTTTTTAAAGGACTTTTATCTTCTTTGTGATTTTTGCAGGAAAACATATTGCGTAGTTCATAGACAAGGTTGGTATTTAGCTAATATGTGCCAGTAAGGCTATCCCTATTATTAAAACATTGAGATACTTCACTTTGATTTGGTAAATAATTTCTTTCTGAGTCCTCTATGCATGATGGCTAATGTAAACGTGCACCTCCATAGTATTATACTAATTGTTAAATATTTTTAGATCAGAATCCTCTAATAACTTTCCTTTTTGAGATATCCAAATCCCCTTTAGTAACCCTCTTCTCCATAACAAAATTGAGGTCAACATATTTTGCTACAATCTCCTGTCTTCCACCCAGCCTTGTTCTCAAACAGGCACAGGCTAAGAGTCTTTTCTGGGGTTTTCGGGTGGGGGACCCTTGAGGAGAGGACAAGGCTGAACAGGGAAAAAAAGCCATCTTTTTCAGAGAAGTAGGAGACAGAGGGTGGCTCGTGGTGCCTTATGAATCTTCAAGAATAGTTGAACTTTCACAAGCATCCTCCCGTCTTTAAAAAAAATGTCATGAACTATTTTAGGGACATTAGAAAATATAAAAATAATATTTCCAATTTGAGATGACATGGAGATGAGCATTTCCTTATTTTTCCCAGTAAGTACAGCTAAAATCCTGAACACTATATGTAAAACACACATAAGAAAACTCTGAGACATGAAAAGAAGGCAGATAGGATAGGGATCTCAGAATCTGAGTGGCAACATGGTGGTGAGTTCTCTGGGTTTACCTTTTCCTCATATATCCTGAACTACAATCTGAAGACACTAATGGATACATCCACAAAAGCATCAACAGAAGTCTCCTCTCTCTAGGCAAAGGACTAGGAAAGGGACAGCCTCAAAATGTGGAAAACTTCTAGATAATAGCTGCCCTGCTCCAGCCAAACACCATGGGGTAAAACTATGACCTCACCCTTAGTCCCCACCACAGTCAATAAAGGTTCCAACCTCTTCTGGCCATAATACAATTCTCCTTATTCAAGTCCTGTTAAGATAGTATTAGAGAAGGTCTGTGGAGAGCCAGGATTTTCACCACTGCCCAACACCAATGAGAACAACCTCTCACAATGTCATTGAAGGCCATTTGGAGAGCCTAGAATTCCATTCCCTACCTGGAGGCTACACTCCTACTTTTCATCAGAGGTATCAGGACTTTCATCACTGACCCATCTCCTTATAATGTCAGTGGAGGCCTTATGGGGAATAGTAACAAGGTGCCCCCTCCCTCAGTCAGGGTGGTTCAGCAGAGGCCTAGCTGGTACCCTAAACTTTCATTCTGCCACCCAGCATTAATGAGGTATCTCTCCTCTCTATCCTACTTTGTCAACAGAGGCCGAGCAGAGAACTTAGGCTCCCCCTCCTTCTTGGAAGTGAGGAGTCAGTGCCCTTTCCCCCCACTGGCATGGTGTCAGAGAAACCCTGCAAAGACAGAAGATTGAAATAAGGTTTGGGGTCTTTAGATAACACGCTATCTAAACTTTCAAGATGCATACATATAATTAAACCATGCATTATATCAAGAAGCAAGAAAACTTCAACTTTAATGAGAACAGAAAATCAACATATGACAACACCAAAATTACACAGATGTTGGAATTATCAGCCAAAGATTTTAAAGCAGTAATCTAAAAATGCTTCAACAAGTGATATGAACATGATGGAAACAAATGAAAAAATAGATAATTTCAGCAAAAAAGAAATAGAAAGTCATAGCAAAGAAATAGCAGATATGAAGGAGAACCAAAAGGAAATTATAGTACTGAACACTAAAATAACTGAAATTTTAAAATTCACTGGACAGGCACCACAGTGAAATTGAGAGCACAGAGGCAAAAAACTGAATCTGAAGACAGAGCTATTGAAATTACCCAATCTGAACAAACGAGACAAAATAAACTGAGACAAAACAAAATGAGCCCTCGGGATGTGCAGGACTATAGGAAAATATCTAATGTTTGTGTAATTGGTGTTCCAGAAGGAGAACACAAAGAGTATGGGGCTGAAAAATAAACAAATGATACCCCCAAATATCCATATATGGTAAAAGCCCAAATCCTACAAATTAAAGAAACAGAGTGAATTTCAAATAGGACAAATTCAAAGAGAAGAAGACAAATCATCTGAAAACTAAAGACAAAATACCCACCATAACAAACAAACACAAAGCAGTGAGAGAGAAAAATAATATCTTGGTTATAGGGGAAAAAATGATATTGGACTTCTCATCAGAAACCATGGTATCACCAAAAACCATGGAAGTGGTGCAATATTTTCTAGTGCTAAAAGAAAAAAAAATCAACCTAGACCTTTATTTATTTATTTGTTTATTTATTTATTTTTGGCTGGGGCTGGGTTTGAGCCCGCCACCTCCAGCATATGGGGCCAGTGCCCTACTCCTTTGAGCCACAGGCTCTGCCCAACCTAGACCTTTAAATTCAGTGAAAATGTCCTTTGGCAATAAAGGAGAAATTAAGACATTCTCAGATGAGATGAAATTAAGAGAATTTGTTGCCAGCAAATGTATCCTAAAAGAATAGCTGGAAGAAATTCTTGAAACAGAATAGAAATGATAAAAGAAGGAAACTGAAAGACCAGGAAGGAGGAAAAACAATGGAAAGAGTAAAACTACAGGTGAATAAAAGGAAGTTTATTTTCATTTTGAGTTTTCTAAATTAGCTTTTGATAATTGAGTAAAAAATTATGACATGGTCTGATTTTATTCTCAATGTATTTAGAAGGCAGGTATAAATTATATGATATCATATATAATATCATAAATGATATCATAAACAGAAGAGTAAGGAAATTGAAGGGAAGAGTTCTACATCTTACTTGAACTCATAAAGCATCACCACAATAGACTGTGACAAGCTATATATGAATAATGTAATACCTAGAGCAATCCCTAAAAAAGCTACAAAAAGAAATACACTCAAAAACACTATGGATAAGAAAAAAAGTTTTTTAAAAAGTTCAAGTAATGCATAGGAAGGCAGGAAAAAGAAAACAGGAGTCCAAAAACAGAAAAAACAAAACAAAAAACCAAAAGCAGACTTAAGCTGTGACACACTAACAAGTATATAAAAGGTCTAAATATACTAATTTAGACTAAAAATAGTCTAAATATAGTAATTAAAAGGCAGAAGTTAGCAGAAAAAATATGAATGTAAGGAGAACAAAGTTGCAGAACTAACACTACTCCAAGACTTATTCAAACTACAGTAATCCAGACAGTGTGGTATTGTGCATTCAGGACAATCTCAATCCATTCACAGTTGTCCCTCTCTTGCTTTTTACCTTGAGTTGCATTTAATTTCCAGGGGGTTACAGAGTTTCAAGGCATCAGAGGAGGTCTCTGGCTCATGCATGGATGAGAAAATCTCCAGTATCGAGGATTGTGGGAAGATGGCTGACTAGAAGTAGCTTTTGCCAGAGGCTTATGCCCAGAGGGAGAGATATTGGACTGAAGTGGATGGAAACCAAATGAGAGGAGCTCTGCACTGAGAGGACTACATGAGGTACCCATCACCCAGGCTGAACAAAGTGGCAGAAATAAGAACGGGGAAGAAAAACAACAGGTACGAGCCCAGCTCCAGGAAGGGAGACCCCTCCCGACAAATGGGAGCTCTGGGGTGGGAGACCAGTCAGCCAGTGAACTGGGTTCAAAAGTCTCCTTACCTTATCCCATGGGAGAGCAGTTGCTAAGTCCCAGTCCTTTTTCATTATTGAGGGCTCACCACTGAGACTGGGCCCCATTTTGTCTGGTACAAAAGACCAAATATTTTTCCTGCAATCCTGAGCACCCAGATTGCTCTTCCCCCACCCTCATTGCTGAAAGTACTGCCCCCGTAGAGTCTGGAGTGTTTGACAGTTCACCGGGAAGCTGGGGAAGTCTGTTGGCCGCTGAGCTCTAGCTAAGAACAGTAGCATGGCAGTCTAAGTAGTCCAAGCTTTTATGGAGAGAGGGTGAACTACCCATCTCCAGCTCCTCAAGAATTCCCAGGCAGCTCTGTTTTCTGCCCTTCAGGACAACTTCTGAACTCCTTTGGGGTGTGTGTGTGTGTGCAGGGCCAGTGCTTAAATGACTCTGACTTGTGACTGAACTTTGGACCTGCCCCTTGCGCCAGGCATGGCTCTCTGAGGTTGATTGGGTGGGCAGGTGGGTGTCTAAGTGACTTTGCACTGAACTTTGGACTGCTGGCCTCCACCAGGCAGGGCTTTCTGAGCTCAATTGGGTGGGGAATGCCAAGGGTTTAACTTTGGACTGAACTTTGGGCTGAACTTTGGGCCTTGGGCCTCCACCAGGTGGGGCTCTCTGAGCTCAATTGGGTAGGCAGGGCCAGGTTTAAGTAACTTTGAACTGAACTTTGGACCTCTGGTCTCCACCAGGCAGTGCTTTCTGAACCCAGTTGGGTGGCTGGGAGGATGTTTAAGTGACTTTGGACTGAACTTTGGATTAGCACTTTCCACTGAGTGGAGGCTCTCTGACCTCAATTGGACAGGTGGGGCTGGGGTTTCAACAACTTTGGACTGAACTTTGGATTAACACATTCCACTGGGTGTAGG